ACACGCTAGAAAGTTGCTAATTGTCCGTATAACATTTTAAATTATTACTAGGAAATTATTGTACTTAGGTACTGCAAAAACTGCTAATAAAATCAATTACATATTGCAATTGCCTACTTTAAATGACAGTTAACATTCGTAAATGGTAAATAAGTATGACATAAATATTCATAACTAGATACTTAATGTTAAGTTAATAATATTTATTGTGTGGTAGAAAGTTGATATTTCAATTTTAAATTTATTGTATTTTTCCTTTCATTTGGACCATCTAGAGATAAAACGTTATTTTATCTAAGGATAATTATTCACACCGTGTTACAGTGCCGCAGTTGTGGACCAATGTTTCCTATTGACAACAAAAGGGCGAGGTTTTGTGGAATTACTTTTATAAACGTTTAATAGAAAATTCATTAAAATCGTTAAAGGAACTTATAACTGGGACAAAAACATCTAATATAAACACCAATACACTTAATAATCAGTAATTAATAGTAATTAAAACACTATAGTCATTGTTCACTTTTACTTCTAACGTCTATCCATTGAATGGTGGAAGGTATACCTATACTATGATAAATTTGATAATCTAGCACTGACCAGGAAGTGAATTTCTTTTGGAAAGCAATACAACAATCATGCTCACCAAGAGAAAAATCAAAATCAAATCTCAATTTGGACAGTATTTCACGGATATTTTTGCAGCATTGAGTAAAACGCTACGAGATAGGTAAGGCCATAAAATGTGATCCATGAGAAAATATTAGATGATAAGTAATTTCACCCACATATATACGAGGCATGTAACTTGAGTAACGAAACTATCAACATAGCGATCGATGTGACAATACTGAAACACAAGACTTGGAAGGAAATTATATTAACATGTGATATGCGTTCAGTACAAGCATGAATTGGCTACAGTTTTTTTACTTGTCTGTAGTAATTGTTTTCATGAAACATATTGTACAAGCATCTACGTTCTAAGAATGAGTGACATCAATTTGGAGCAACGGTGTGCTAACAGGTTTTGTTACAGACTTACAGTGCAACGGAAATCTTTGCAAAACTTCAGCAAACATACAGAGACAATGGTTTGTTAAGAGCTCAGGTTTTTTGGTAGTTTCAGACATTTTCGGAAGCAAGAGAACCTATGGAAGATGAAGCACGCAGTGGAATTTCAAGGTTAACTGTCAGAATGATCGGGAGCAGTATAATTTGAGTCACACCACCGTTCGTCAAATTTTAACCAATGAACTGGATATGAGAAAAACTAGTTCAAAAATGGTTCCAAAAATCATATGGAGGAACAACAGTATGTCAGGAACGAAAAGTGCAGTGACTTTTTGGAATCGATTGAAAATGATCTGGACGAGAAAAGGTGGATTTTTGAATTCGATCCGGAAAACTAAGCGCCAGAGTATGAAATGACATACTCCAGGCTCTGCAAAGCCCAAAAGAGCAAGAATGAGCTAGTTACGAGTCAAAATCGTGTTGATTTGTTTCTTTGATAGTCAGAAAATCATCCACAAAGAGTTTGTGCCTCAAGGCCAAACAGTCGCCACATTTACCGAGAGGGTCTTGAAAGATTTCGCATACGGGTCAGGCGAGTGAGACCAAATATCAAGAACAACTGGGCATTATAATTATGCGCCTTATTACACAACATTTTTGATCAGTAAAATAACTCCTCTTACTCCTCAGTCCCTTATTCACCCTAAATGAACCCTTATGAGTTTCTCGTCTTCTTCAGATTGAAAACTCACTTCAAGGGATGCCATTTTGGGACACATGCTGTAACCAACCAGCTGAAGCGAATTCCAATATTCGAATTCCAGGAGTGCTATGAAGATGGAGAAAATGTTGACTTGTAAAAAAGAATTTTTTAAAAAGTCTCATTAGCACCTCACAGGCATTGAATAATTTTGTGGTATCAATTTCTAAATCAATGAATTTCGCTTATAAGCGATTAAATGGCAAACGGGTAAAAATGAATTCGACGATCACGATGGGTAATCGGTTTACCTTGACTTCGCGGTGTCCTGCTGGTTGGTAACAAACCTGCACACATGATGTAACCGTTGGAATAATGAAGACCAACGACCAATAGTTTGCTAGGGGACGAGCCTCTCGCTGATTGGAAGGTGTCCGATATCAATACTTTCACACCTCCGTCGATAAGAAACTGTCACCTTGTTTACCACACGAACCAATCCAATCCATTCATACGAATGAGAATGAATATTTAATAGCCACTTAGCTCCTTTTACAATGCCACCCACTCACGGTAACAAGGTATATCGTTTGAATAATATAAAAGCTTTTTTTAATACTTGCATTCCAATGCGACTAGCAGCAGGAATACGAGGCGGTCACCATGTAAATTAAGTTGCAAATGTGTTGACAACTTGACTGAGATGTATTGGTATTAATATCATCTGGTTTGCGAGGTGGAAAACGGAAAGTAACGAGAAATATCTTCTCTTGTAGGTACGATTTTCGTTAAAAGCACGGTGCCGAGTATAACTCAATCAGAATAAGGAAAAACCGGTTAAGTGCGAGTCCGTCTAATGCACTATGAATTTTGTACAAATTTGTAGCTATGTAAATATAAAGTTCGTCCATTACTCGAATCGAGTAGTAAAGATTTTCCCACTTTTTCCGAGTATGTTTTTAGTTTCCCCACAGAAAGTATAATTACGATATTACAATTAAAAAAATATTTTTCTTGTGATGTAACTCAAATTTTTTCCTTTACTTCTGCTATAGGACTTTGCTTTTTGCTAGATTTTGATTCTAGGTCAACGCGAAATACCCTATAGGTTTTGAATTCTTTAGGAATGTCAAAATATGCGACATAAACGGTCATATCTTTTGATTGCGTTGAATTAGAAGTTCGAATTCTTCACAGCTTCAAGGGATTGCAGACCTGAATATTTGATATTAATTTCAACTTTATACTTTCATGCGTTCCTGAGAAAAATGGTCTTGTCAAACAAACAGACGGACAACGGTTAATTAATTTTGTATTCAAGGTTCTTTTTTTGCTTACGAAACTCTAGAAATCAGCGAAGTTATCTTAGGATATCTTGCCTACTCTGTAACATTGAAGGAACTCGATTATTAATAATAATAACTTTGTATGTAGGTACAGTTTAGTTTTGAAAAATTCGCAAATAATAGGTAAATTGATCTTAAAAATTCTGAAAACCTTACGTAATTCTTATAGATAAAATAAAGTACATCTTCTAGTTCTAAAAGTAGAATTAATGAGGCCATTAACTAATCATGGCGGTTGAGTATTAAACCGAATGTTTATAAACTTAACGTCGAGTAGGCCTGGACTAGCTTGGTTTTCGCCGTCACCTACGTTTTCAAACAAACAAATGAAAGAGATCATTGACTGCCAAATATACTACTAAGAAACTTACAAGTACAGAAGCTATTAGGTATTTTACATTTATACCTTTTAAGAACGTACATATTCACTTTTAATATTAAGATTAGGCACTTTACAAAAGGTGCTCATAACAGTGGAAAATAGGAAATGGCGGTAAAACATTGTTAATGGGCGGACTGTTCCTTCGGACTACGCCGGAGCGTAGGGCGAAAGACTCTCTTTAACCTTCTTTGAGGAATCGTGGATTGCAGTGAGAAAGATGAGACAAACGAAATGAAGACAGTGAAAGATTATCTGAGGAATGTTACTGCCTCAGTATTTGCCCAGGTGACCCGAGGAAGCCACAGAAAAACTTGGATTAGGACAGAAAGTTCCGGAATCGAACCGATATCCACCCGAATGCTAAGCAATAATCTAAACCTGTAGGTCACGCTATTCGGTGGAGAAGTTCGTCAACTACTAACGAGTATACCTAAACCATGTCTATCTCACTGCGGCATCTGGTGCACTAAAACTTTGAAGAAATTTACCTACTAACTTCTTTGGTCGAATAACACTCATACAGAGGATAGTACGAACCTCTTTCATCAAATAAAGGGTGTAATGGAAGTCAATAAATTACAAAGGGAAAGACACCGTGTGAGACATGAAGGACTAGTTGGAGATGTAGGTAGATTTAGAAAAAGGAGTAAAGACGGATAGTGGAAGATCGTGCAGAGAAATGATTAAAACTTTTGGAAGAATTAACATTGGATCATACCAGCTCATTATTTTCAAATAGGGCCATTTCTTTGTAGGTCTATTTGACTTATAAGGTTCTTATGAAGAATTCACAAAGCACCCTTCTCTACAATATCGTTGAATTCTTTTATTAGGTCCACATAAAGAACTTCCCTCTATCGGAATGTCCCTCATTTGTCACATGAAGCACACATGACATTATTTCATTGTTTTGCAAGCTTAAATATACGACGAAAATTTGGTGAACAGCTTCAACTTTTCGTTCCAAACCAATAAACGCAATCTACAATCAAGAGCATTATATATATCCTACTTCGCTCTATCGGTATATGTTTCGCGAGGAATATTTACTTTTTCGTTTGAATCATCTATCAACTCATCCACGAGCACTGCTTATTTCATTCCTAATTTACTTGCTTGTAACATTTGAAGTTTCATTCAAACGAGAATCAATCTAAATAGCACTTCGTAATTCCAATCTTCTTATTGCTAACATACTCTCCTTAGACCGAAAGACTTCATGTTCCGCTTGAATTTTAGACCAGTAACACTTTGAATTGAGTTCATGTCAAAGGTTTGATGAAACAAGAACTTAATAATCTCAGGAATGACTGAAATTATTAGAAATCATTGGTTATAGACTTTAAAGTGTTTATAATAGCCAGGTACTTCTCATAACTGTAACTCCGAATAATGTTTTTAGTATTAGTAGGTATAAGTGTAGGTACCTGTTAACTATTACATAACCAAATAAAAAGTATGTCCAATAGATTCAGTTTAGTGTCAAATAATGAAGAGATACTTGTTTAAACATGTATTAATGTGAATGATTTATTCTTATGGGTATTTCTCGTTACAGGGCAGCAGGTAGTTTGGTTGTAATGGACCCATATCAGATTTGTAAGAAGACGAGAAGATTGAAAGGAAAGCTGGGTGACATTTGCAGAAACGAGCCGGCACTTCTTAAACAGATAGCAAACGGTGTGGCAATGGGGCAGAAGGAGTGTCAGTATCAGTTCCGATATCGGCGATGGAATTGCACAACAACAAGAAGAAGTATGCGAAAGGTATTGTTAAGAGGTGAGAATTTAATCGGCGGCTTGTTTATTATCATATTTTACGGGACTTGAAACTTTCAATTCCAATTACAACTATATATCTATCAATAACACCGAAAAGTAGCGTGGACGATCAATTCATCGGTGATTCCCCCATTTAACGAAGATGACGTTGTGTATGGTTTTAAACAGTTAATATTCGGGTGCTTTTACAATAATAATTATTGTACATACGCAACAGGGTATACTGTAAATTATGCGAAGTCGGTTATATAACTAGGCCATTATTTAAGATTGATTCTCCCTCTGGAGAGTATCAGCTCAACGACTTCCAGCAACATCATCGGGCGCAACATTAGCTATATAGCAAAGTTGGGGAATCAATCCAAGAAGACTACCATCAAACCCCGTTATCACTTCAAATCAATACATATTATATTTTATTTCTCCATAACTAACCACTCGCCTACCCACTCACTGTTATAATCTCCCGATATTCTCAATGATAATAAGATAATTTGATAGTAGAATCGATCTGTTCATGGGCTGCAGTAGAAGATGAAAATATCTTCTTAACGCTTTGGTTCCGTACGAAAAGTCCGAAAATATTTGAAGTTGTTTTAGAATTAGGTTCACTGACTGGACGTGTGTATCGAAGTGTAGGTACTGGTTGTTGAAAATGTACGACAAATTTCTAGATTTTAAAATGTTCTTCAATTTTGGAAGATTCTGAAATTCTTCAAAATGTTCTTGAAAATTCCACTAATTACGTGGTAACGTCCGGTTTAAGGTACAGTTAGTCTCTCTACATGTTTTTGAAACATTTTAACATGCATTTATGTTCCAAGTTCCAAGTTGCTGGCAATTGATTCAGGTAATTTTCCTTATCTCGGTGTAAATCTATGTTTAAATTTACTTGCATTTTGAAGGAAAATCTTATCCGGAAATCGTTGGTAAAGTTAGCTTATTAAGCTTTTTTTACCAGTTATATTTAGTTTGTAATATGAATATAAATTTTAATAAATAAATTGTATCAATTTCATCGATACAAAAAAAATATGAATTTTACAACTCGTTCGTTACAGTTTGCTATGTTAGAAACCCGCTGATAAACTAGCAAAAAGGGTGAGCCTGGTGGATATAATGAAGGGTTTAGTGCATTTAATCAAAGATTTTATAGTTAAAATGCACGGTTGCAATAATGCTAAGAAAATAATAAGGGGAACAATACTGGAAAGAAACAAAAAACTGGAATATCTGGTTTTTACCAAGTGGCTGCAATTACATTCAATATCGTTAAATATGTGAACATTCCAGCGACAGCATTCTGATCACGTATATTAATGTGTTACAGGCAGTTATTACCCATAATTTGCAATTAATTCTTTTTAAAGAACTACAAATCCCTGATAATGTCCTTGCATCTGTACCAGCAAGGCTCGCTGCGATCGTCCATCAGAATGATAACTAGGCTGTCACACAACATCTGGAGCGTTAATTAACTAATTAACCGCATTCATGTCGTCAATCACGCTCACAACTTCTCAGAAAATACACTTAAATGTATTAATTCAAACAGCAATAATTAATAAAGAATGCATCTGAAACGTATCTGTCACTGCAACACTCTCGATAGAACTCTCATGTAGACAAAAAGGTTAATGGTAATTTTCCATTAATTCCCTCTTACTAAGTAAAGCAATATAAACGAATTTATTGCCACAACATTCTGCGGTAATATTGTAAATTACATGATCATAAAAGCAAGCAATTTTCTGTAATTTCCTTAATTATTCATCGCGGATAATTATGTAGATTATTGACGGTGCAACTTTTGTTAAACTTCATACTCAGGTATTTGAACCAATGGTAGTAGATCGTGGATTTTGAAGACAAAATAAGCAAAATTATTTATTAATATAAAATAAAAATAACAAATTTTGTTTTGGCAAAATTCGGATACGTAATGTATAAAGGATTTGTGGTTGTGATGGTTAATATGATTTGATAAGTGTAACCTTCCCAATCATATCCTTATCACCAAGGGGTGCACAATGACAATAGAGATCTTATTTTCAAGTATTATGGTCATTACGCTTTTTAATAAGATACTTCATAAGAAGACTACCAAAACAGTCAGATTTATGAAGATTATTTACAGATTAAAGTAACTAACGTTAGGTCATTTATAAATATACACGTATGTACCTTAGGGTGGTTTTTTATTTTTTTTATTTTCCTAGAAACTCATATCCAAAACAAGTTATTGCTCAAAAAAATTAAAAGTTGACAGACTTTAACCTTATAATAGTTTTAGAGTTTGAGCTAGATAAGGAAATTAAATCCATTTTTTTCCGAAATTCATTGAAAATTTAACTATTATTATGTTTTATCGTCCAGTTTTCTTTAATAGCATAATCAGCATTCTTTATTGATCGCTAATCTCTCCGGTAGCACACGACATTGGTTCAATATTGATACAATATTGTATGACAATTTATAGCTACCCGAGATAAAAATGTTCAGTCTCTCAGAGTCTCTCAGAGTCTTTCAGCGTCTGTGAGAGCGTCTCTCACAGTCTTTCACAGTCTCTCAGTTATTGCCTAGGTGTTTTTATGGATCTCTCACAGTCTCTGTATGAGAGACTCGAACGATGAAATTGTTAATTCAGAGATTCGAGTCTCTCGCAGAGAGACTGAATGAATAAAACTGAAAAATTGAGAGACTCGAATCTCTCGTAGATAGACTGGGATCTCTGAAATATGTTGAACTTATCGAGATACCACTTATTGAGAGATTCCGAGTCTCTCGTTCAGAGATTCGAGTCTCTCGTTCAGAGACCGGATACGAAATGAGGATCTCTCTATGAGCGACTCGAGTCTCTCGTTCAGAGACGCTAAACAGTTTTTTTGACAGTCTCTCTCAGCGACACCAGAGAGACTCGATGAGAGACGGAGACTCGAGTCTCGCTNAATTTTTCTATATTTTAATACAATGTTTGTCCGATATTGATCCAATATTTATAAAAGATTCTTGGCAATAATATTAAAGCAAATTAATTTCTTTTCTCCGTAACAACTATACTGGACAATGTGTTTCCAAAAATTGTCAGTCTTAAAACTAGTCTAAATAATTCTCAAAATATTCAGACTAATTGTCAAAGTCAAACTAACTGAACTAAGGTGATGATACTGAATTCTTTCCAAACAAGGAATTTCCTGACTGCTCGAGGCTGTTGATTGTACAAAGGAATCGCTTTCGACCAAAAAATAAGATGAAAAAAATGGATGAAACTTTGTTTGGTTTTTTGAAAATTGAATGTTGTTGAGACAGAAAATTTACATTACATGTCGGCAAGGTTTAATATTAAGATCAAGACTTAAAAAGGAATATCTATTTAACAATTTCGAATCTTATGAGGGACTATCCAAATTTGAAAATTGCCGAAATAAGGATCACTCTAATGTTGTAGGTACCTATATATCTTTGTTCTTGGAGGAAGGCAGATGCAACNATCAAGACTTAAAAAGGAATATCTATTTAACAATTTCGAATCTTATGAGGGACTATCCAAATTTGAAAATTGCCGAAATAAGGATCACTCTAATGTTGTAGGTACCTATATATCTTTGTTCTTGGAGGAAGGCAGATGCAACTTACACATATACATAGTAGTTACATCAGCCGAACATACACACGTATAATATGTACATTGTTTTTAAGGAATAACGCATTCCTTCGTCGGATGTGATAGGTGGCAGTTAAATTGGCCAAGACTTATTCAATGGTAGGTATATATTCAAACTGACTTCTAAAAGCATGTTTAACTGTGGATGCAGTGTTTCATTTTTATCTAAATTGAAAGATTCAAGATTGTGCCTGAAAGATTTAAAAGCTTACTGACAGACAACCCGGACCTTATCGTATAATCGCTACCTGCCCCGTATCGGTTGGTCGCATCTCTCTGCACACGGCCTACTATTATTTTACACCTCGGTTAATTTGAGGGCTCCCTAAGAAATGGCAGTCGTCCTGGAGGGGCTTAAAACGTTATCTCACGTTTGACTGATTTACGCAATTTACTCTTATTAACCGGCTATTAAACGTTCACTTTTGTACCAGGTCTGTTATCGGTCATTCTTTCTTAGACACAAGTTGATACCTAAATAAGAACGACCTGTCAACAACCAACACTCAACTAATAAGTAAATTTTCTAATAAACTATACGAAAAATAAAAATCAAATTAGGATAAAAGTAAATGTTTTAGTATATCAAACAACAGTGACGCTTCGTCTTTGGTGTAGTGATAAGGAAATTGATTCTGGTCTTGCAGTCTTGATCTTGCAAAAATTGAAGAGCAAGACCAAGGTCATCTTTATATTAGCAAGACCAATGCCAAGACTGAACGAACAAGACCAAGGCTAAAATCAAGACCGAACGAAAAAGACCAAGACTAAAACCAAGACCCCAAGACTAAAACCAAGACCGAATATGCAAGGCCAAGACCAAATACGCAAGACTAAGACCAAATACGCAAGACTAAACGAAAAATTATTTTTTGTTCATGTCTGATTAGCACGTGGTTGCAATATAGAGGCAAATTATTTTTTTTTTTCGATATTTTTTACTTAGGAAGGGTTAGTTTATGTATTGTAGGAAGGGCAAATTCTCGTATTTTCGTAACTCTCAGATCTATATCTTTAAAAGTGATGACAAACTTGTATGTATGACAAAAAATTTCGTCATTTAAGACAANAGGCAAATTATTTTTTTTTTTCGATATTTTTTACTTAGGAAGGGTTAGTTTATGTATTGTAGGAAGGGCAAATTCTCGTATTTTCGTAACTCTCATATCTATATCTTTAAAAGTGATGACAAACTTGTATGTATGACAAAAAATTTCGTCATTTAAGACAATTATTCTGTCGGTAAATCAAAAAATTTGTGCTTGGAATAATTATTAAAAAAAGTATCAGATTAAATGAGCAAGACCAAGGCCAAGACTAAGGCTATGTCATCA